TATGGATGGATGGATGGATGGATGGGATGGAAGGATGGATGGATGGATGGATGGATAAGGTATGAATGGATGATGGATGATGGATGGATGGATGGATGGATGGATGGTATGGATGGGATGGATGGATGGATGAACATGGATGCGATGGATTGGATGAGATGGATGATGGATGGAGGATAAACTGGATGCCGATGGATACGATTGATTAGATGGAAGAATGGATATAAATGGATAGATGGATGGATGAATGATGGCATGGATGCGATGGATGGATTGGATGGATAGAGGATGGATGGGCTGGATGGAGGGATAGATTTGGATAAATGGATTACATGAACTAGTAATGAATGGATGCAATGGATAGATGGCATGATGGATGGATGATGGAGGATGATGGTAGAGGGCGCATGGATGGGATGGCATGGATGGAGGATCACTCCCGCGGCGGGTGGGGTATGATGGATGGATGGCGTTGCTGGCGGCATTACTCCGGTCTTTATAGAGATGGGAATGGATGGGGAGTGATGAGGTGATGGATGGATGGATTGATGATGGAATGGATGGATGATGATGGATGAATGGATGTATGGATGGATGGATGATGGATGTGGATGGGATGGATGTATGGCATGGATGAGATGGATGGATTGGATTAGATGGATAGAATGGATGATGGATTAATGGATGGGTTAATGGTGGGTGGAGCGATCAATGAATGAATGAATGAATAGTATGGATGAATGAATGAATAGATGTATAGAATGGAATGAATGGGATGAATAGCGTGGATTAGATAATTAGATGATGGATAATAGATGGATCGATGGATGGATGGATAAATAGATAGATGAACAGATATATATGTTATGATTATGATATTATATATATAATATATTAGAGCAGAAGTCAGAGAGAGGTGGTGAGAGAGAGTAGATAGATAGATAGATAGATAGATAGATAGATAGATAGAATAGATAGATAGGATAGCATAGGAAAAAAAAAATTTTTGGATAGATAGCATAGATAGATGGATGGATAGATAGATAGATAGGATAGGATGAGGGATGATAGATAGCTATAGAGTAGATAGATAGATAGATAGGATAGATAGATAGATAGATAGATAGATAGATAGATAGATAGATAGGATAGATAGCATAGATTAGAAGATAGATAGATAGATAGATAGATAGATGAATAGATGATAGATAGATAAGCATAGATAGATAGATAGATAGATAGATATATTAGATAGAATAGATAGATAGATATTAGATGATAACGTGTTCTTGACTGGTAGCACCGTAGTGACTGGTTTGAGCGCCAATAACTATGACGCCAACACTTGACTCACATCTAGCGGCAGTTATATATCCGACCGCATGCTCAGTATAGACATAAATCGTGCCTACACACGCTCGCGCCTACACACACACACACACACACCACACACACACACACACCACACGAACGAACGAGCAGACAACAGACATCACACAGACACACACACACACACACACACACACACACATACACACACACACAATCAACACACACAACACACAGCACAGCACACACACACACACACATAGCCATAACATACAGTCATACACTTACACGCACGTACGATACGCACGCACACATAAACATGCACATGAACAGCAGTAGTAACGTGTGCTACATTAGGTAGTCTAACATGCGGCTTGTTATCATCGGTGGAGCCTGAGTCGTCGGGTGGTATTCTTGGTGTTACACAATGAGCGCCAACGAGCAGGGGCCAAGCGAGAAAGGGAGAAAGTCCCAATTCTGATCTCGGTATTTCGATCTATATTCTATGCCGCAGTCTTGCCTCTCGTGGTGCGTGCAGCGGTATACAGTCTATAGCTATCTATCGTACTATCATGTATTCTTATCCTATTAGGCTCATCTATTCTATCTACTCTCATCCTATCTTATCTATCTATCTATCTATCTTATCTATCTATCTATTTATCTATTGCTGATGCCCGTGGTACTGTATGCGTTTGTGTAATGTAGCGCTCTGTGTGTGTGTAGTTGTACGTGTAGTAGTGTATCCTAATTTATCTAATCCTATGTGCTCGTTGATTCGTGATCGTGTGTTACTGTCTAGATTGTACTGTGTTAGATCTAATCTATCTATCTATCCATCTATCTATTCTATCTATCTTATCCTATCTATCTATCTATCTCTATCTATTCTATCGTTGATCCTATCTATCTTATCATCTATCTATTCGTAGAGCTATCTATCTATCGTATATATCATATCTATCTATATATTTACTATCTATAAGTGTATCTATCCTATCTATGTGCTCGTATCTGAGTCTATCGTATCTATCTATCTATCCTATCTATCTATCTATCTATCCTATCGTATCTATCTATCTATCTAGCTATTTATGCGTGTGCTATCATCGAATCTATCTATCTATCTATCTATCTCTCTATCTTATCGTATCTCTCGTATCGTATCTATCTAACTACTATTCTATCTATCTATTTATCTGAGTCGTATCTATCTATTGTGATCTATCTATCTATCTATTTATCTATCTATATATCTATCGTTAGTCCGTATCTATCTACTCTATCTATCCATCCATCCATTTATCCATGTGTCTATGTGGTATGTCCGGAAAATATACGATCTGTCTGGTGTGTGTGTGTGATTGTGTGTGTGTGTGGTTGTGTTGTGGGTGTGTGTGTGTGTGGTGTGTGTGTCTGGTCTGCGGCTTCTTCTGCTCTGTCTGTTCTGTATATTTGTTCTGTCTGCCCTGTCTGTCCGTCCGTCCGTCTCGTCGCCTCGCTTTGGTCGTGTGTGTATTTGTGGTGTGTATGCGTCTTTTGATACGTGATTATGAATCATCGTACCTAGTACTCTCCTCTCTCTTTTCTCGTGCTCGTGACTGTTTCTGCCTCCTTCATGCTCTCTCTCTCTTCTCTACTTCTGTCTCTCTTCCTTATCTACTCTCTCTCATCTTCCTCTTCTCATTTACCTTCCTCCGTTGTTAAGCCGGAGTTGCATATATAGTATTATATATACTCATAAGGTCGATGATATATTAATAATATAATAGTATATAGATATATATATACAGTTGATTTAATTATATATATAATATTCTGGGTGATGAATAAGTTAGAATCCCCTCTCGAAATGTGCATGCGATATGCTGTGCTGACTTTTCCGCCAGTGTGTGTAGCCAGCAGTCGAGCACGATCACAGTTCACTACGCGTGGCGCGATCGATTCCCAGCACCAGCTCGCCTTATGGCGGATAGCATAATGCGGCATCAGTCTTCAAAACGATCGACAGAGGGTCGAGGCGCAGCAGCTCGTCCTTTGTGTGCGCAAGACGCGAAAAAAACTAATCTTTGCTAAGAGAATAAGGTCAAATTCAACTTTCAGGCCGGATTCTACGTACTAAAGCGGTCATATCTTTTCTTTCAACACAGCACTTAAGCGCCTATTTTTAGAGCCAAACCATGGTAGACATTTCAGCTACGAGTTGTATGCTAATGACAATAGATACATGGCCACGTTGTTGTAGCAATTAGCAAAATATGTAGCTAATTTAAACAAATGAATGAAGACCAAAGGAAGAGAACATCCTAGAAACAAAAATGTACGGTAAGATAAAAATGATAAAGCCAGGTATCGGGACGCGACCAGATAGGGTTTATGACCACTTCAAGCAGGCGGACATTTGAAAAGGACCGAGAGAATTTAAAAATAAAAAGACAACGAGGTTGCGTAATAATAAACCGTTGCAGAAATTAGTCAGCTGACCACCGAAAATTAAAATGTAGAACTGTAGATTTTATTTTGCTAATATTATTAACTATCTCCTAACAATAATTTTCTATACGCCATTTCTATTTAATATCTAATAAAAACAATATTATATATTATATATATATTATATATATATATATATATATTAATATATTATGTGTGTGTAAAGATAAAAAAAAAAATCGCGATCGTGAATGCTGAAAACGCAAGCAACCAAGAGACGGCAGCACTTTCCAACGCCTATGGAGCAGTACGCCGACACTACTAAACTGCCAACTAGAAACTGTTCGTGTAGCTTGCTGAGGTTCTCGAGTATATTATCAGACCAGATATGGGTCCATCCGTCTTGATGCCATGTAGTTGGATCATGCATGGAGTAAGGTAGATATGGTTAGTGTGGTTGTGTGTATCAAAGCGGTGTCATTGATTCGTGTTATTTCGTGAGAAACTAAACAATCTGTCGATCGACTATGAAGTGTTTTCGTGTACTTCAGGTGTGCTTCCTCTTTTCGTGCTGTAAAATAAAACGAATAGCCCGGATAGGTATGATCACTCATCGTGATGCCCTCTGTACTAGTTCTCTTGTTCACGCCCACATCTACGATCTTCTCTCAAAACACCGCATTAACTCACATCAATTTACCCTCCTCTTTAGCTAACATTCCCGCTCTCTCTTTCTCTCTCTCGCAATCTTACCTCCCAATACTTATCTAAATTTTCATCTGTCTTTTACTACACATTCTCTCATTCTCTCTCTACGCTCTCCCTCTCTCTCTTCTCTCTACTTCTTCTTTCTCTCTTCTCTCTCTCTTCTCTTTCTATCTCTTCTATTCTCTCTCTCTTCTTTCTCTCCTCTTCTTATCTCTAATCTTATCCTTTCTCTCTCTCTCTCTCTCTCCTCTTCTCTCTCGCCTCTTTTTCTTGTTTCTCATCTGGTATGATTCATCACTCATTCTTCTCTCTCCGACTCTCGTCACGCAGCCGCACGAATTTGTTTACGGTATGTGATGGAAGCCTCTCTGCAATGTCAATTTTCAATTCGCACGATTAAGATACATACAGGTGTGTGGCAGGCCCGCTACAACATCAAACGCGCGCCGCGAGTGTATGTTGTCACATTGCCTCGCATCTATACTCCCTTCCCCGCCCTTCTCTGATTGGTCTCCAGCGGCCCTGACTGTTGTTCGTATAAGGAGAGGTGAAGGTATATTCTTGCTTTTTAATCAGCATTGCAGCGAGAGGGAATAACAGTATACGCCCATGTTGTAAAAACGTCTTTGCGTGGAAGCCAGCCATGATATATTCTGTATATAATATTATATATACATATATATATATATTATATATATATATATATATATCAGTATATATTATATATTGTTTTGATGAGCAAGCCTAACGCCAACCGCCATCGCCATGAATTTCACCAGGCCGTCTGCCAAGAGGATACACGATATGCGCGCACGTTACACGCACGCAGCGCACCACACGACGCACGTTAAAGCAAGCAGATCGTACAATACAGACGCATCACGCACACGCTCAGCGTACACTGCACGGCGCGCGCCTAGCAGCGGCGTACAACACACACACACACACACACACACACTCGTACGGCACGCACGCCACACACACAACACACACCACACACACCGACCACACACACACACACATCGTACGCACGCACACACCGCGCGCACCGACATGTACCGAGAGGCTCTCTCACTTGGCTGTGCAGGTATTTGGCATGAGGCACGGGGTGGGCGACCTCTGTTGCCACATTATATACACATATGCGCACATGCGGAGGGGAGGTTCGTCGATGGGGGCTGGGGGATGTATAGTTATGCTTCACCGGCGTGCGCACGTGCGTATGACTCAGCGAATACGTTTACAATCAGATAAGGACTGCGAACTCTCTCTCTGCGCGTCGTTCGCTCCGCGCTCTCTCTCGTCTCTGCTTTCTCTCTCCTCTTCGCTCTCCATTTTCTCTCTTCTCTCTCTCTCTCTCTCTCCCTTTCTCTTCTCTACTCTCTCTCTCTCTCTCTCTTGCTCCTCTCCCTTCCCTCTCTCTCTTCTCTCTCTCTCTCTCTCTCTTCTCTCTCTTCCTCTTCCTCTCTCTCTCCCTTCGGCTCTTCGCTCTCGTACGCTTCTCTATCGCTCTTCGCTCTCAGCTCTGGCGCCTCTCTCTACTCTTTGCGCCTCTCTCTCTGTCACATCCGAGCGGGAAACTATAATCGCCTCGTGTTCCCGCAAACCCAAATAATAAACAATATCGCTGCGGCCAACTTTCACACGTATTGTTGTGTCGCGGAAGGGGGGGTAGGGACCGACTCAAGCATTACACGTCGTTCAACCTGTTTGATTATGATATCGATGTCAATTAGCTGCTCGGCAGGGTGTGACACGTATAGATAACCTAGCAGTAGGCGTAATCTTGAGCTGTACATCTTAGTATCGCAGCAAGAGGGACGAATGGCAGCAGGTTAGTCGTAGTAGTAGGTTAGTAGTAGTAGTATGTCAGTATAGTAGTAGTAGTAGTAGCAGCAGCGCATCCAGCAGCAGCAGCAGCAGCAGTAGTGTAGCAGCAGCATTCAGCAGCAGCAGCAGCTCGTAGTAGTAGTAGTAGTAGTCAGTAGTTAGTTCAGTAGAGTAGTAGCTAGCTAGCAGGCAGCAGTGGCAGCAGCAGCCAGTATCGCCAGTAGCAGCCACAGTAACAGCAGTAACAAGCACAGCAGCAGCAGCCAGCAGCAGCAGCAGCCGTAGTAGCTAGCAGCTATCAGCAGCCAGTCGATAGTATAGGGTAGTAGTAGTAGTAGTAGTTAGTCAGTAGTAGTATAGTAGTGTCATAGTAGTAGCTAGTTAGTCAGGAGCAGCAGCGCAGCAGGCGAGCACAGAGTAGTAGCCAGCAACAGCAGCCAAACAGCAGCAGCAATAGAGAGGCGAAGCAGTACTAATGATGTCCGCTGAACAACTCTCTCTCGCGCGCGTATAACGATCATCCTACAACGCTGTCCCCCGCATACACACACACACACACACACACACACACACACACACACACACACACACACACACACACACACACACACACACACACACACACACACACACACACACACACACACACACGCGTTTACATAATCACCGATGTTTATTCTTTGTAATTATGCACCGGCGACCTGTCATTACTAAAACAACGCGCGTGCGTTTGATGTCGATTGCGTATTGATTTCTAAACAGTTTCGCAATCGATCTCTTGCTCTGTCTTGTCCTCTGTGTAGATCGTAGTTATTCACCTATATTCCTACATTGATTACATCGGTCATTCGTCAGTCTGTCAGTTCGTCCATAAATTCCTGGATCCTTCTAGCTTAGCGGCGAGACGGACAACTTTCACCCCTCATCAACATCGACTGCGGCTCTTTAGTATCGAATTACATTGACGAGGTGGTGCGACATTGCACTTTCATTTTGCGAGTGCGTGTGGCAGCGCATACAATAAAACCGCAGACAACGATGAGATATATTTGCCTCCGCGACTGCCCAAGTAACCCACTGCTCCTAATTGTATCGCGAGCAATTCGTAGACTGTTCCCACCGTATAGCCGTCGGCGTTTCCTGACTCGGTTCCACGCGTTCCACGCGCAGCGTTGGTGCCAAACTAGGAGCGTGTTCGTCATATATTGAGGGTAGCGCGTTGTGTACGTGTGTTGCATTACGCCCGCGCGCTCTTTCGCCTTCTGATGTCTATATAGCGAACAATGTCACCCCAGTGACAACAGCCTCGCGTTCTCGCTTTGTGGTGCAGATTTTTGAGTGCCTGCATAATTCAACGCGCGACTAGACTGTCGGCAATATACAGAGGTGTGACATTTATGCGCGGTGTTGACTATAGATAGCTGAAAGCGGGGTCTTTCTGGCGGCGCCGGTCACAAGGGGGGGGGGGGACAATATGAATGTGTCGCGATGCGATTATGCGAGAACTGATTTCATGCGTTACATTACAAGGCATAGTGGACCCGTCGTTTGTACACAATGAAAGCGCATTAGTTGGTGACGGGAAGATAATTCTAGATAAAGGCAATAGATCGCTGTTTCTTTCGCTTTTTATCCAACGTTA